TCAGATTTTCAATTTGCAAATCCACAATTTCTCATGCATAGTATTATGAGTAAATTGTCATATTCATTGTGCTTCTGCTTATGACACTGTTGTCATGCCATGCCATGTCATGTCATGTCATGCCAATTCCATTGATTCGTGATCCCAACGCAGCTTGGAAGTTTCACAAGCCCCTTTGTTATCGAGCGTACGTGTTTCACAATTACGTGAAAATTCAATTGAAATCTATGGAGGAACGTGAACTTCAGAAATCCTAAATGCAATCTTGACAGTCCGCCCATTAACCAATGGGCGAAGTATTTTATGTGCATGACATCTGAGACATCACGCCAAAATTGTAATAATAATAAGTAATTGAATAACAATGAAAGTATTTAAATAACTGGTCTAAGAATGTGTGTGTGTGTATATATATATATAATGTGAACATAGGGTGAAAATGAATAACAATTGGACTACTATTTTTATACTTTGTTGCCATGTGTGGATTAGCTTCACGAGCGCTTAAGTACCATTTTCGCAAGGAAAATAAGTTCAGTTTTTTTTTGAGGAGAAATTGACGGCGCTTCTCGGTATCTTAAAGATTTTTCTAGATTCCACGTTCAAGCAATCTCTACCCGGTCACGCAAAATAACTACCACACTTATCCTAAAGTTACACTTCCTTCTAAGCAATTTTCTGGCTATTACTGTCCGGCCTGAAATATGGCCACAAGCAGATTGCTGCTCGTTTTCGACAATCGAACATCGCGTCCGCCTTGACGCCGGCAGAGCTTTCATTGTCTTCTCCTGTGCGATCACTTTAGTCATCATTTCTGTTACATCGCAACGTCAGACGTTTTCAGGCGTTCCCTGAACAAATGTGGTAGCCAAAATGATCAGCTGTAATTTGCGATGTTTACTTTAATTGTTTTTAAGTTTATTTTTGGCTCATAAACAGCGTCTTTTAGCAACTGTTATAATTATAACTCAACTGTAGAAAAATATAACAGTAAAGTTTTCAATCATCTTACAGTAGTAACAATTACTATTCACATGTATCTATTGGACTTCAATGATCAGAAATATATTACATACTATACAAAGTGTAATATTTTTTCTTGGTCGTGTCTTAATGGAGTATTGATTCGTTATTGTATCCAGTTAATTCTCTTAGTTTTATATCTGGGACATACTTTGAAAATGCGATCAAATCTTATTATTCTGACACCTGCGGCCCGTTGAGCACAGCTACTTTTTACCCGGTAAACCTCTCTTCATAACCTCTATATTGATCGACTACACACTCGGGGAGCGGTTACCTTATTGGCCTGAATTCCGTTCATCATTCCACATTTAAAATCTTTGCGAGCTGGTATATCAGACCCGTGCGTTGTACTCAGGTGCGTCAAGTACGCCAAGCACTAGCATCGATGAAGCAGAATATGTGAAGCGGGTGATTGCTTCTTATTTTGAAAAACGTTTGTTTCGCGAAGGCTGTAAAAAGCTTAATAAGTCGCACAACGAAGAGAAAGAAAAAAAAAACAGCAAAAAAACAACAACAAAAAAAAACGAAGTGACTCCACATTACAAATTGCATGAACAGAGATATTGAGTTCTCGCGTTTCTAGAAACCATCGTGCCAACAATTGCTAATTTCTTGGCAGAGTTGCTATTGGGCATGTATCTGCTTCTGATAGATTTATATTCGAGGAAACGTTTATTTCGCTGTCAACGTAATAATACGCAGTGTGCATTATAACGTGGACAATGCATTCTGCAGCAGGCGGAGACTTGAAAGACGACTTTCACGTTGTTCGGACAATGCTATTTCCATGAACCGGCTCCTCTGCCACGCCCTCGGCTTTCTTGAGCGATGAACTTGGTGACATGCTCGCGGCCGTCAGTTCTTCGAGCAGAACAGAGAGCATTTGCCGTGCGGTGGAATAAATCGACGATGATTTCCATTTTCTCGGCAGTAATAGTTCGCGGAATTGTAATGATACGAAGGAGATCGTGTTTGCATGGCATGCGGATTCACGTTGCTCTTTTTTCCAGTGTTTTCTGTTGCATATCTGTCCATTGCTTACAGATGAATACGAGGTCAAATATTTGAATTGATGAGCTAAAATCGTAGAAATGAGTTTTGAGATAGTTGTTAATTTGGTGGACTTTGCAAATTTATGCAGAGCAAAGAATCTGGAAAAGAATATGGAAATCTAGACGAACTCTCTCACTGGCCCCTTAATTTCTTTTATTACGAAATGTGACCCAGTTGCTTCTTTGTTAGCAATCATAGCACTTGCTAAGGTCCAATGACCAAAATTGTATTTTTTTATGACCTTGAAATTTCGGAGTTAAACCAACGTTTAAAAGCGGAGTTAAACCAACAGAAATTTAAAAGAGTGGTGCTCCAACAGCACAAAATTTCACATCGTTGGTAACGTTTACGTAATATTATAATATTGCAACTTCAATCCTACCGACACTTCATTCATCACTTGAGAAAGTCGTAACTAATCGGAATGCGAGAAGCTAAAAAAAATCCAAAACTAATATTTTGAAAATTTAAAAGCGTACTTAAACAAAATTACTTCCTGCCATTGGATTGAATGTGCTGTGCTAATATTCTGGAGATTGTATGCGTATTTTTAGTTCTATGCACTGTTTCAGAGAATGTGTTTAATAATGATAGGATACAAATTATTGAGATAGTTTCATAGTGGTAAAAAATTAATTAGAACTTTTGAACTGCGCTATGTATTTCTGAGTTTGTCAGAACATTAAAAATGCTGGAGTTTGTCAATATTACTAGTACATACAATGGTGAACGCCAGATTACTGAATAAACGGGTTCGAGAGACAAACATTTACACGGACATTAACACGTAGAAATTTATAATATACATGTTTTTTGTTTTGCGTGCCAAAAAGCAAATGTGTAGCTGCTATTAAGTAGTGGGAAAATGGGCATTTAATGTACAGAAGTAAGGGCAGGGCACATCTCAACATGTGTTTTATGAATAGAGAGAAACTAAAGCAGAAACACACCCGAGGGGGAGGCAATTCACACAGAAGTTTCGAAAAAAACTGATGTATTTTTACGTTGAATTATATTCATTCAGTACCTTTAGTGAAAATCGTGATTTACGTAACAAAACACAGAACACAAAACATTCTTCTCTCCGAAGCCATTTAGAGAGGGTATAGAATTTTTTTTTTTTTAAGTTTTAGACTAACCAACTTGGTGTCTTGAAAAACTTCTCCCAAACGTAATTTCATCTCTCGTGTAGATAATACACACCTAAAGATGCTTATCAATGATGATGTTATTGATACTACACTATAATTGAAAATATAATGATGATATTATGCTGAATATGGTGACCAACTTTTCTTTACTCTATAGTTTAAGTCTGAGATAAGCTATACATTTTTTATCTTATGAGGTCTTACTGCATTCACTAAAACAACGAAAATTGACCAAGGGTGTAAATGATAAAATTCGTCTATTTAACGTCAACAATAGTTTAAAAGAACTGTGTATGACGTACAATGAAAAATATATTCTACTCACGTTTTCTTACATTTGGAGATCCCTACTTTACACAAATTGAATTGTGAATACAGGTGGAAACGAGTGTTTTAGGTAAAAATTGATATGAAAATATTCAATTGATATGAAAAATCAGTGCCGTACTACGGAGGGTCTCTTATATGACGTAAGCTTGTTTTTTGTTTTTGTTTTCGTTTTTGTGTAAGGGTCTCGTCCGTTGTCGAAAATGATGGTAGAATCGTTTTGTAATACTTATCATTGTACCGACAGGTAAAGTGATATATTTGAAAATAGGCCTGCTTGGTTCAGTTCTACTATTTTCTAATCTTTTTCTAGTGTCCTCTTTTCTAGCTGGATCTTCTGAAGATTTGATCGTCGTAGTCATTTTGGAAATTAACATATTAATGTACGGATTTGAATCACAGTTTTGGCCTCACTGCAGAAGGATCACAATCCCTTTTCCACGAAATTGAAATTTACCATTGACTAATGCCAAGAAAATAAAATGGATCACATTTTTAAGGAGTTCTTTCTGAAACCAACACAATACCTCCGAAGACCTTTAGTGTCTTAAATAAAAGTAATGCGGGCATATAATTCAATCACTGATCTGAGTAAGAAATTATTCTCTTTCTACAATGTCAAGACCGATTCACGTGAGGAAAGCGGGTTTGCTAAAACCACGAAAATCCCTCGAAAGCGGTGCTTTTCGTGGGATTCTCTCTATTCCTCTCTTCATCATTCTTCGTCATACTTCAATCCATAACGTCTCCGACAAGCACATCTTTGTCATCTCGAGGAACAATCTTGCACCCGTATCTGATTGGTATGTAAGCCGACACTATAGTGTAAAATGTGAGCAGGACATCTTCAGAGTATGAGTAAAAAGGTAAATGAGGTAATCATGTGTATACATACTAGGTAGTTTTATAATGTGTTGATTGCAGGTGAGAGACCGGCGAATGACATGCATGTTTTTTAACGCCGTAGTGTTTTACTTGCACTTAGCACTCGATATGTTGCAAGGACGGTTTCAGAAAATATTGTAGTGAGCCATTTAAAAAAAAAGTTAAAGAAATCAACTGTTGGAACAATTTATGGGAATAAATTTTAGTAATTACCTCCTGTTTTTAAATTTTAATTTCTAAACAATCTTAAATTAAAATCAAGATTTTCTTATGGCACAACTTTTTCTCCTAGCAAAACCAGTGAATTGAGTGTATTGTATTATTAATTAAATTATTAATTTTAACTACATTTAAAAGTATGTTTGCGCAGCTTGTTTGTAATTGTTTAAACGCAGGTGTTTTTTTTATCCTGAACATTTTGATAAGAGACCGCGTGTCTCCGGAGCCGCGCGCCTGACTGACTGCAGAGGGTTAGAATAAGGCTTCTAGGCCTGTGCCTAGCCCTGTTGGCTGCGTTGTAACGGCGCGTGCGCGCGCGCGTGTTTGTGTGTGCGGCAGGTGGCCGGGGCGCGGGCGCGAGCACAGGCGAGGACGAGCCGGACCGCGCGGCGCCGCGACGCGCCACGTCGGTGCCGCGCAGGACGGGGCCGCCCAGCGCCGCGGCGCCCATCTCGCGCTCCTTCGCCGCCCCCGTCTCCGCCAACCCGTCAGGTGAGCACTGCAGCCGGCGCCCGGCCCTTCCCCCCGCAAGGTTGCGACGTCGATGACGATGTTTTCAAAACATTGTTATCGAACGATTTTGGAAAACTAGCGGCGTTGATGAATAAATTAATGTATTGAAATTCATGTTTTTAAGATCGGTGGGTTTTTTTAACATCGATCTTTTTTTAGGTTTTGGATGTTTATTCTTGGATGAAAAATTCCCACAATCACACATTTGTGCAAGTTAAAATGTGAAATAATTACTTACGGTAATCTGTTTGTGTTCGAATCACACGAATGTGATTTGAACTGCTTTCATCGAACAGCCTATCCCTCCCCCGAGATGATGCTGCTACCTTGGTATTTTCTTCATCTTTCTTCGTATTTAGCGCGTGGAAAGAAGTTTTGAAACTTTGTTCTCAGTTAAATTTTCATTATAAACTAGTATGCACAACCACTGTCAAATTAAATTTTGTTTCGCACGAATTAAACGTTAGAGGTTACTAAACCAGCTAAAGAACATCGATGGACTTTGGTTGATGTATTATCATCGATTTTGAACATCGATGTTAGGTTGTCGATGTCGCATCACTATTTCCCACTATCCTGCGCGGGCTGCTGCTGGCCAGCTCGACTGCTGGAGGATTCCTGGACCAAGCGAGTTTAGCATCTGCTGCAGACACTTGGGACGACAGTTTTCTTTTGCCAGTGGACCTTCGATGAAGGTTGTCGCGTAGATCGTCGTCGTGGAGTCTGTGGTGAAATGCCGTTCTTAATTCTGTCTTAAGCATTACTATAGACGAGTTGCAAATAATGCAACATTCTTTTGATATGAAAATGAAATGGTAGCTCTATCTAACTAGCTAACTCTATTTCCTGCTCCTTTTAGAAAACCTCGCATCGTGAGATCTGTAAATTCAAAGATCCCTGTCATTAATATCCACATATATTACTTTATAATTCCAATCGTATAAATACTTTTGTCCCAGCATTCTGACATAAACCCATAGATAGATCTTTATCTTGTAATTTTTCCCTTTTTTTATTTCATTGTAATACTTACCTAATTTTCATTTAGATGTCATATTGTAACAATCGCTGCCATTAAACTTAATACATGTTCCTAATTTTATCTTCTGTATGTCATGGTTTGAATACATATGTGTATATCTGTTGTAATATACTGTTTAAATGAAGGGTCGCAAGAAGACATTTTTAGGGTCTCGAAATCATTAAAAAAGGTTAACCAGGGGCGCCCTGAGAAAACCTTGAGTCAGGGTCCCGGGGCAGTTGATCCAATGGGGCCCCAGATTTCTAACAAACAATTCACTCTTCTCTGTATTCCTTAACAGAATTTATTTTTCCATGCATCAAAAATAACTTGTAGCGTTAAATTTGGATTATAGATAGTTATATTTTTCATTTATTCTGAGTGGGAAAAGAATTCGAGGCCCCAATTAAGTCGGGGCCTGGGACAAGTTTCCCCACCCGCTCGCCCTTCTCGACACTTCTGAGGATGTCAGTACTTTCTACAAAATTTGATTTTATAAGTGATCTAGGAATAAATGTCCATTAATTGCATGTAATTACATATCAGTTATATAAAATGAATTTATATTAAAATTATTATACGTATTAATGTAAATTAAATTTTCTTTATGTATTGCGATTTTTTCTGTATATTCATAATGCCCTCTTGGTGGATGGCGTATCATTTTCACATATGCTCAGTTGAAGTAATATTTCTTATGTACGCAATATCAAAATTCAAATTCTAATTTTAATATTGTTAACTGTAAATGGCCGTTAAATTTGAAGTAAATAATTTCAGTGTGTTTTGGTTTTACGAATTAAATAATGTATTTAGGCGCAAGAAAAATATACCCCTCAAAGTGTGTTTATTTTTTTCCAAATTCGCATTTGATAAGTAAAATTAACATGATTATTTTATTTCTATTGCGGGAAATTGTTGTTTTATATCGCTTACGATGAACGGCTTCACTTTCATTGAACTTGTTGCTAACATTGTTTAAGTTTTATTGGTGCTTCTCTAAGTGTAACCTGATCTCATAGTTGTTCTTCGAGCGACACAGCTGAAAGACTCGTAGGTAAATTGAGTTAACGTACTTCATGGTATTCCGTTCGCGCCTGTGAGCATGTTGGCAGCTCGTTGAAGATCGGTCGACCGCGTTGGCGACCCGCTGCTAGAAAGTCTTCTGAGACGCGGGTCTTGAATACAAGAGCGGAGTAACACACCAACCTTGACCTCCAGATCAGGGGAAACTTTGGCAGTGCGATACGTACCCTATTTTGTTTTCTGAACTCCGACATTGCTTGCTTCAATATTTATACGGGTTGTCAAGCCTCAGTTACTGTATACCCCAAATGATTGCAGACTAGTTAACGCAAGAAATATTATTCAGTTTCACCTATTACATTTTTGATATGCTTTAATTGAAATTGCTAACTAATAGACTTCAGGACCCCGTGTATCATAATCTGGTAAATTGCATGAAAGGTAATGCCATGATTTGGAGCGATTTAAAAATTAATCTCTTGAAATAAAGGATCAAATGGACGTGGGAATTCAGTGCGATAATTTGCTCGTCACCTTGACAATAAGCATTTTCCGTGTTGGACGAGAGGTAACGTGACCGGACCAGTAGTCCACACATCCACCCGTGTGTTTCGCATGCCAACGAGCCGAGAGCACGCACAGTTTTCTCGGTGTTTACGTTTTCCTTGGTATTCATGGCTGAAGTTTTCTCCTCTCACCGTAACTAGAGCATGCTCAGAGTGTAAACGGTACGTAAATGCGGATGTAGAGTGGGCGAATATGTAGAAAATGAGAGGAAAATCATGCCCTCTCGGCGTTGGGAAACTTCCTCAGCACGTTGAAAATTTATCTCGTTGATTATTAAGTAAATACAAGCTGTGTAATTGACTAAGATTAACCTTACTAAGACGATTTAGCAAATACAGAACTCAGTTGATATTTGGCGAGAGGAGATACTGAAGGTTAAATCCAATCAGTTCCGTTATTTGCTATGTCGGTCGTGTGCCGGCCAAACTTTTTGTAATATTACCTTTTGAAAAGAAAAAGAAATCACGTGCATAAATACTTCTTGGATCATGAGTACTGAATCGAAATAAATGAGATGTAGCTACAACTTATTTATTTCGATTGTTCTTTACGAACTTCGGACTGAAAAATTCATAATGGACGCTGATCGTTGTGAGTTCTCTGTTGGGTTGCGCTTGGTGAATATAACAATATAATATTTCGAGAAGGTAACAACATCGGTTCCATAACGCAATGAGATTTGAGACCGCCTTCACAAACATTTTTATTACATTTTCAATGATAAACGGCTTTCGGCCATAATTCATGTGGGATCTATAATTCGCGCGTGCGTTTAGGATTTAAAATTGAGACTAGTGGCCAAGCCATCGAAAGCAGTCATTCAAAAAACAAATAACAATGTTGGCAAAGGCAATGCTGGCTTTAGTTACTATTGTAGTACCATCCATATTTAATCAGTAAATCAATAGTCATAAGTGTGTGTAGGCTTTGCGTTGTGATATGAGATAGAAAATGAAGGTTGGACTTCCGACGACGTGAAACGTTAAGCAAGGCGCTGCGATGCCACCCACCCCCGAGCGAAAACCACACCAGTCTGGCCGGCTCGGGGTGGTCCCCGCCGGCGAGAGCGCACGCGCGAGTGCGCAAGCCGCGCGAAGCGTTCGCCCCCATCCGCGCGCTCGCTCGCTCGCTCGCGCACGCGTGCGTGCGTGGTCCGTGCGAGCGGCGCGGCGCGCGGCTGGGCGCGTGAGCGGCGCCGCTGGCATCGGCGGCGGCGCGTGACTTTGCTGGTGGGCGCAGCAGCGTCGGAGGCGGCGGCGACGGCGGACGCGGGGGCGCCGCGCCTGCGCAGGGCGTCTTCGCTGCGGCGCGCGGGCAGCTCGCCGGCGACGCCGCCAGGTGAGTCCGCCGCCTCCGCTCCGCTCCTCTCTCCTCTTCCTCCTCCTCCTCCTCCTCCTCCTCGGCACACCTCGCACTCCGCACCCCGCACCCCGCACTCCGCACCGGCACCCGGACCCCCGTGCAGTGGCAGATCTACCGCGCTCTCCAAGCTCAAGATAGACGCGCGCCGCGCCGGCGGCGGTTGAGCGTAGGTGACGGGTTCGGTGCCCGACGCGCTCGCCAAGATAGACTGGTCACCGGACCGGCCTTCGAGATTTTCGTTACCTAGACTTTCTGACTCGGTCGGCATCTTCTCCACGGAATTTCTAATCATGAAAATCACCAAAGTTAATATTTTTCGTGTCTGTTAGTGACTCCACAGTAATTTGAAGTCGTTTTCCGTGTGGATGTAAACTAGAACATTAATTATATTCAATGATCTGTTAACCACCGTTCATATGAAATGGAAAAATTTATAGAGTGGGATCTTTCCCTACAAAGTTGCTGCGAGAGATGTGTGGAGTTTTCGCGCTGAAAAGAATTGCAGGCTATGTATCTCGCCGTGGTAGCAGTAAAGTAAGTCAACGGATGCCATGAACCATCATGTATCGGAATGATTTGCTTAACAGAAAAATCGGTATAAATGCGTTACACCGTGTCGCTTCAGTGTCGACACGCGTTTACTCTCCAGAGCTGCGGAATTTTCGGTAGTGCACAGATCCGCCCCTGCCATCCCAGCACACGTGCACGAGTAGCGTTGGATCGTTGCTCCGACTTTATGCTTGTTTTGGTAGCGAGTTGTCGTGCAATGTGGTGCATGTTGCTTCTGTAAAATGTTCCTCACGTGCCCTCCCGGTTTCTGGTCCTCCAACGCTTTCAGACATGACCAGAGAAGACCCTTGTCCCTCTCCCAAGTGCTTTGCAGTCACTGGCTTTCGGAGGAGCGGAGCTCATGGGAGCGGTTGGGCGGGAGAATTGGGCGGTGCACGTGGGATTGGGGGATGAAGAGGGCGTCTGGGAAGA